TCTCTCTCATTTGCTCTATCACTCGCTCCATTTCTCATTCTCTCTTCCTTTCAGATGTGCTTTTGCTGTGCTATGTGCCAAATGAAAGAGAATTGTCAGCATGGTGAACTATAAGCCTATCAGAATTTTGGGTTGGGGTACAGAGAGATAAAACTTTGCGGGTGGAATCCGTGCATTTTTTCATAATACATTGCTGCTACAGTCTTCTAAAGGCTAATCCTCTTTCTTCTGTTTGTCAGGTATGCCTGTTCAGTACCTCAAATAAATACAGATTTACTTGAGTGGAAATAAGCGATGTATTGACATGAAATGAGGTTAATAAATGTTAATTAATTTTCTAAACTGTATTGACACGTTAACTTTTGAATTTTTTGAAATTACATATGTTGCTTCTGAACTGCTCAAGTATAATAACGGGAACTTTGGCTTAGCTTTTAGTATTAATTTTCCATTTTAATATTAGACGATTAGCAATTCTAATTTTTAGTGATGCATTGAATGTTATTTTTCTCAAAATTAACAAATTAATAATTTTGAGAAAAATAGTATGATTTTGGTAAGTTCTAGATTTCAGACTGCTATCAAGAGAAAGTGTGTGATGAACCTAAATTATATATATGTATTTTTTTGAAATGTACTTAGAAGTATTTTTACACCTGCAAATTGTCTTCAGTATAAATGGGTGTTATGGCTATGACCTACTTTAATGGAAAAGGGTTCATAAAGAAGTTCAGAGCAAGAGAATGAAACACTTTGGCAGAGAAGATGAGATGTTTGTAATTTTAATCAAATTTAAAATGAAGACATATTTCAAGTATGTCAGACTAGTGTTAGTGAGTTTAAAATCTAATGACAACTGCTGTCATTATTAGTTAAATATAGCCATTGTGCCTGTGGCAATAAATGAGTACACTTCAGAACATGCAGAAACAAAGAACAAGAAATTTAAAGGGAGTGACTGTAAACTTAGTTCAACACAGGAATGTGACTTGAGCATAATGCGTTTACCCCAGGTACAGAGGCATCTGTACAAATTGAATGCAACATTATATCTTGTTACTACAAGAGACTTTAGATTGTAGAAAACTCAAGGTCTTCATGTGTATTTTTGCGTATTCATATTCTGTAAATAATTATTATGTATTATTATATATTACTATTATTATTTTATATTTATAACATATATTATAATTATATATTATAAATATATAAAATATATTTCAGTTTTGTATTTATTGCATTAGCATATAATTGCATTAATACATGAAATATATTTCAGATTGATTTCTACATTCTGCACAGTACCTTTAAAATATTTCACTCAATATTTCACAATATTAAAAAGTATCAACTTAAAATAATGTCATTTTTGATAGATGAATATAATGCAGATAATAAATTCTAGGTGTACGTGATTATTAAGCAACAATGCTTCAGACATTGTTGGTGTTTATTTCTGTAAACGTGAGGAAAAGGTAAAGATGGTGAATGGGTACATACACAAATCAGTTTCATTAAAGAGAAATATTTGTGTACTATAATATCATTTACAAGCGTTATTTTTTACCATTTAAAAATGTCAAAAGCTTTGTGAATGTAGTTATACAGTAAACATATAAGGCAATTAGAAATTAAAAGGATAAGAATTGGGAGTTGAAGCAAGCTGTAGTAAGAGTAGTACGTTTTGATACGAGTTCAGTGTACTGAGAAATGTGTGTAATGCATAAAATTGGGCCTAGACTGAGTGTTATGATCAATACTTGGATAGGAAATGTGAATGGAAAATTCAAGTGCTATATGACTTAATGAGTATTCTGTAAAAGACTTTTCATTTATAATGAATCAGTATACTGTTTTCTTGCCATTAAGAAGCCTTTTGCTGGAGGAAGGGATTCATTTTGCATAAGAATTTGAACTGTAACTTGGTTGTCTTGATATGATTAAACATTCATAGCCACTTATCAGTAACTGTGTTACTGTCTTTTAGGGAGGGGTTAGATAATATGTTCTGCTTATTCAGTTTTTACTATAATTGCAATTTGGCAAATCAGTAATTCAGTACACAAATACACATTGTGTACTGAATTACTGGCTAGTTTGCTGAGCTTAAATCACTTCAAGAGCTAACATAGAATAATTTTTTAAAATGATGGTATACTTTGACATAATTTCTTTTTTTTTTTAAAAAAAAGATGTACCAATGTATGTTGAGTATATTCCTCCAAGGCTGAAGCACGTTCTGCACATTCTTTGAAAATATACCAATTTCAAAAAATATGTGAATGACAATTAATCTGTGTTTTTACATATTCATGTTGCTTAACTGAGCTCTCGATCTGTTTTCTAATCATAGGTGAACAATTTTTCAACCAATATTCACATTAGACTTACTGCCCCCACTTCTTGTTTACAACAAGACCTTTTGGTAATCAGAAATGAATTCATAGTGAAGTGCCAAGAAGGTAAAATTCAAGATGTGCTGATCATACAAATTTTCAGATGCATCTTTGTGAGACCTCAGTCTAATACCACTTAGTCCCCACATCAGCAGGTTCCAAGAAGTAGCAGGCTATCTTTTATGCTGAATGGATAGTATGTCCTCCCTAGCCAACCCAAACTAGCTATTTGCAACAAATAGTTGTTATTAACAAAAAAGATGTTATGCATCATTAAAATGTCTACCTAAATTGCTATTTTTGTGAAGATAAAACAAGTAATCTTTCTATATGGATAACTGATTGATGCTTGAGTATGCTTTTTCAGAGAAAAGTTTATTTCAAGTTGTTCTTTGTGATCCTGTCCAACTATTTGGATATTCCTACTCTAAAGCAAAACATTTCTATATAAATAATAAAGCAATTGTGGTGAACAGTTTCCAAATTTTTAATAATCAGAACTGTAAAACATGCATAATGTTAAAGCAATTCAGTGAAGCCTACCTGCATTTTGCAATGCAGTATTGTTACTTTTAGCTATGGGAAGTAAGAATTGATGTTTTTGGTACTTCTCTATTCTACTTGGTAGTTTAGTTTCATGTGTGCTAGGTAAAAGGCTGACTGGATCCTAAGAGTCTACTCAGTGTAGTTAGTATTAGCAAAGCCTTCTGATACTGAAGCCTGGTCTGTGGCAACGGGAATGTTTAGAGTTTTAGCAATGAATATCTAACAATTTCACATCATGTTGACATGCCAGTTTTCACAGTAACCACAGAATACCTTCCTGGCAACTGTAAGTGTATGTGTGTGCTGTTTCAAAAGTAAAGATAGGAGAAATTTGGTAAATTCTACTAGAAAAAGAAGGGCTTTAGAGAGTGGAGCAGGAAAATGAGGCTACATCCACATTAGCAGCTCGTGCGGTACAGTATAAACAGATCTATGGAATAATCAGTGCAATGGACCTTATGTCTTAACTACACACCTTTTAAGAGGATTGGTTCTGTGCTATCTAGTCTGTGCAGCAGGCTTAATGAAGTGCTGTAGGTATTCCTCTGGACTACCTGGACTTTCTTTGCATGAAACTAAATGAACAATGTGCGTGATCAGAAACTGCCAAACAAGCCAAAATGCGTTGTCAGATGCTCACTTAAAAATGTCAGTCTTCGAACTAGAATAGCTTTGAACTAGAATAGTTCATTGTTTGAACTAGAATACCAATCTAGGTGCATTCTTATGGAGGAAGACAAGAGCTTTCCAGTATTGTAAAAACTCTAAAGTGAAATTTGCTAAGAGCTAACCTTGCTTTCAAAATGACCCCTATTAGATTAACAGATAAAATTTTCTTTTTGTGTCTCTGAAAATGAGTGCATCTATAGTGAATTAAAGTTAGCTAGTTTAAACCATTAAAGATCTGATCCTTTGGGTTCAGAAAGGAGTTGGAGGTTCCATAGGTAGACAGTCACTCAGGGTATTTTAACTGGAAAATTAAATCTCAGCTAAATGAGTTGTTTTCGCATTAATTGCCAATATCATTGTCAATGGGAAGATGAAGTTTATCCTGAAACTTCTGCAGGTTGTCATAAAAAGCCTAGCCATTTACATTGTTGTGGTTTTGAGGGAGGTGTATGCATTAGAATAATGAACTGCTGCTTTATATTTCATAATAAAATAGCCTCATGGCAGTAAAGATTTGTGAATTGAACCTCTTTTTCGAAAGAACTGTCATTCATCTAACATGTAAGACAATTGTAATAATAGCACTGTAAGACTTCAATTTTCATTGCCATGTATGTATGGACAAATTCCATTAGTGTTAGTGGCAGTTAAAATATTTCTAATCAGGTTAATCATCTAATGTGATTTTAGTGGTGTTGGATTATTACTAAATAAATTTAGAGAGTTTCAGTCCCAGGTTTATATATATATATTGAGTTCAGGCTGAGTAGTTACTATTATAAAGAATTTATTGACACAGTTTTGGTCTTCGGTTTGATGGCTTCTGAATATATTTCCCCATGCAATGTACTGCAATCTTTTTTGAGATTTAATTGCAAATATGTTTCACGTAGAAGCACTACATCATTTAGAGGTCATTTTTCTAGGGTTTAAAAAAAAGCAATAGTTTTAAGTGAAATGAAAATGTAATTTTCATGATGTAATGTCAGAATGCAACTCAAATACTCTTCAAAAAGATCAAGTTTAATTTTTCTGAAGCAGAAGAAATGAGAAGCATTTCATTTTTGTAGGTGAGAAATGTTCCTCTCTGCTCATTGATAGAGGCATGCTAAGGTGAATTTTAATTATGACTAAATTGTGGTATTACTCTTTCATACCCTGAACATCTGTTCCCTTCAGGAATGATGATTTATGCAGGCTATCACTGCAGACAGCTTGCTACAGCTTATGTCACGGTTAGTAGGAAGCTGGTGGTAGCATTTCAGAAAATACCAGCATCTAAGTGGAGACAAGCCAGTGTGTATTATTAAGGTAATAGGGAAAGGGGAGCATGATGTGTCTGTTTTAATTTTGAAGCCAAATATTGGTTTTAATTTTTACTTTTTTTTCTTTCTGACCATCTGTCATTAATGAAGAAAGTAACTTGGGCAGTGAATGGCCTGGTTCTTAGTAATGATGTCAAGCGAAGAAAATACTAATATCCAACTGCATAAAGAAAAATATAGAGAAGACCTCGATTTTAGTGTTTAAGAACTGCACAGGGTAGGATGGCTTGACATGGTTGCATCACAGAATCAAATTGAAAAGGTAACATATACCCAAACATATACCAAAATACCTTTTTTGCTACTATTTTATTGTTTTTGTATAACTACAGATTATCTTTAAAAGCAGCAAACCAGTGCTTAAATTACAGAGCTCTGGGTTTCAACAGAACTAGGGTCGAAAGCATTCAGTTCAGACTGGATAAGGAGAATTTTAACCCAAGGCTCAATTTTCCCCTGGTAACCATCCTCTTAATCTAATGTTTTTTGCCCAGTACCCATCTTACCTCTGATAATGACAGTTTCTTCTACTAGTTTCGTCTGTGCTATCCAGCAGTACAGATTATTACCAAGGCACAGTACATGTAAAATTATCTGAGATATGCCTTCTATTTTATTTTATTTGAAAATAAGTTAGATTTTGATTGGGTAAGACATTTAATTTTTAAATAGCTAAGATATGTCTTAGATATGATACTATAACCATATAACAGCATATTTCTAAAGTTAGGATGTATGCAGTGATTTTTCTCCTACAAAAAGGTATTTAAATATTTACTTGGCAATTCAGTAGATTTTAGAATAGTTACTGTGCTCTCTTCATAAGTAGTTGCATAAATGTGTTGGAGTGTATATATTTGTCCCAAAGAAATATGGCATATATACATCGTATCTTCTAATCTCTATCATTATCCTATGAACTATGTGAAATAAGTTTCAAATCATGTTATAAATTTTCATACCCGTACCTGTTTATCATTTACAGCACAATTTGCAGCAATTTCACTGTGCAGAATTAATTTTGAATGATTGAAGCATTTGTTTTCTAGTCTGTCTGGATTGTGAATTTCAGAAGTTTTTTTAAGTTTGTAGGGCAATTACAGTCTTCATTCATATTCAGTAATTTATCTACATCAGACTCAGTTAAAGAAATATCAGCCATCTTTCTGCTTTTTAATACCAACTATGATAATATTATTCTCTATTATGTACTATGTAGCTAATTTGTTACTTTCTGCACTGATGCAGATATTCAAGAAATTGAATGCAACCATTCATGGTTGCAACGTTTAAACAATGAACACTCTACGAACTTAACTGCTAGCTACAACATTCAGGATACCAGGCCAGTGAGGGTAATCTAAATATACAGATTAAACTTGTTTATTTAAGCAAAACATTTCAAGTAACTTTTGACCCTCACACAAAATAAGTAATTTGATAAAAGTATGAAGCAAATATTTTTTTTTTCTCCCAATGATAATTACTATCAAGACAATTATTATCAAGCTGTTATCCTTGAGGCTTGACAGATTAGATAGACTACTTAAAAAGAATCTCCAGAAGAGATCCAGTGTACAGTTTTGAGTACACTTCAAGACAGCATATTTCAGTACAGTTGCCAAAAAAAGCAGTCTTGACCTCCACCTTTTGTGTCCAGTCTTTACAGTTCTTGTAGCCTTCTTGACAGCACAAGAGCTCTGTCTGTAGTTTGGTGAAACTTGTAGGGAAGCTGACACAGGTAAAAATTAAATCAATTATTGTCAATATTAATCTTGAATATCAGGTTCATTGTTCAGCCACACAAATGGTTTTGTCAGCAAAAGAGAAAGGTGGTGTGGGGGAGGAAAGAAACAACTGGGCTGCAAATGAGAAGAACTTGGAAATATTTTTGCTTATACTTCTTGCTTGTTAGAGAGCAAGAAGAACTAAAGTCAAAGGAATAGTTGCAGGTTTATGTGCAGTTAAAGTTTAAATCTTATACAAGAATCTTGTCCTTCCCTGAAAGAAGGATGTTTCAAGTCCACAAATTTCAAGTAGATCGAAGATGAATGTTTCAGGTATTCAATGCAATAGAAAGCATAAAATTGATACATATTAAAAATTTGAAATGCTATTTGTTGCTGTCCAGTGATTTAAAGAGCAAATATTTCTTGCTTAAAGTTGGTATCAAAGAATTTTAGTACTGTCAGACTGAAATTTTCTTCCCACAATCCTGTCTTCCAGTGGATCTCTAAAGGAGAGTGTAAGGATAAAACAAACACATGGTGTGTGTATATAGTGATAGTTTCCCACTGTACTTGCCTCAGGTCACATTACAGAGCATATCAGAAGCAGAGTGTACTCCTTGAATGCAGATGCTATTTATTATTTGGATGGGACATGATTCCTTCCTTTGGCAGCCTCGTTCACGTAACATGATTAAAAAGGTCACTTTTTTTTTCTGTTTGTGTAGTAAAAAACAAACAAAAGAAAACTTTTTTTTAAGCTTCTACCCATTAATTTTAAGCTTCTACCCAGGTAAACAAAGAGTAATCTCAAGTCACCCAAACATTTGTTGTATCTTAGGAGGAAGGTCTGAAACTCAAGAAACTTGAATGCTTGATTCTTTTTGTTTTGAAACTCTGACAACAGTGATAATATTCTCGCTTCAAATCTGACAGATTTGTATCACTGAAAGAATGAGGAAAAATGTCAAAATGAACAATTGCTGGCTCTGTTTCCGTTCTCAAAAACCCGTACTTGCTGGATTGTGCAGTTTTCAGTCCTCCTCACATCTTCATTTGCTCACTGTGTAGACTTGCAATGAATGAACTGCACCCCTAACATATAGCAGTCAATAGGCTGATGGAATATGACAAATAAAATTCATAATTTTAGAGATGTATTTGTCTCATGCTGAAAATGCCTTTGTCATGCGGAAAATGCGATGAAAAATCAAAAGAAAAGGCAAGACAATTACTGATTTTTGTTTTTTGTAAGACAGAGATCTGAAAATAGCTTTTGATATGGGAGACACTAGTACTGATACATGCTCTTGGGCCTTTAGATTTGAATCTGGTTCTCCTAAACCCATTCAAGATGACTGTGACCAGTTCAACACCTGCCTAGAATGCTAAGAAGTTGTTTGTTGTAATGTTTCAGAAACAACAATTCCTGGAAGACTTTGAATCAACTGCAAGCTATTGTAATACATATTACCATGTTTTCCTGTCCTCACTTCTATGTAGCCAGAAAACATGTCCAGAGTTAGATTACAGCTTGGTCCAGAAATCTGGCAAAAGCAGGAGGGAATAGTTTGTAATCTAACAATCATAAGTGGTGCACAATATCTTCAGAAGAGTTCATGCTTGTGTATGTTAGAATGCTGTGCTTGTTTGAGTATTGACACTACTGTAATTGCGACAGAAAGTGAAAGAAAGAAAAAATGGAGGAAAATAAAAAGCAAAAAAAGGAAATGCTTTATTGATTCATTTCTTTTGTCTTATTTCAAATTGTGATTCTCCAGAGAGGTAGCGACTGCCCTAGGCTTGGTGTGGGATGTCTGACTTGTGTGCTTCATCTCCTACTGACCACTTTTGAACATGTCTTATTGTACTTATTTTTTTTATAACAGGACACATTTCTCTTAAAATTTACCAGACTGGTACAATTTTTCTTTCTTGATACTTCAGCTCTGTCTTCTATATGAGCAACTTGAAAAGGCCGCATAGGATCTTCACCTGTCTGACCTATAATAGTCATGATGGGTGAATAATAACTTTAGTATTTTCCATTTGACTTTTTTTTTTGAACAGTTCTACAAACAATGAATTCTTTTGGTCAGAGTATTGCCATTGCTGTCATCAAAAAAGTAACTTGTATCTTATCAGTCTAAGATTTTATTCTGGAGAATGACAGGTAATTTCACTAGCATCATTTCAGTGACAATCTTCACTTCAGTCACACAACTTCTATAGTGATGATTCACCTCTTTCATAAAATTTGCATTCACTGAATAGTATTGCACGATATAAAAAGCGATTGTATATAACCTCAAGTATTGTGATTGCTGTAAAATTGGACAGAAATGAGGTGAATATTCAATAATTCATTCTTCTAAAGTGTGTGTGTATATATATATAAAATAGTATGTGAAAAAATGCTAACAGGAAATCTGTATTTTAAAATCAATTTACTGACCTATATAACTTCAGTCTGAAAACTTGGTTCAGCATAAAATCTTAATAAGAGGGGGAAGCGGGGGGGAAAAAAAAAGGCTGTGATATATGATCAGGAAAAAATCAGAACAGTGCAAGTATGGAGAATAAGCATAATTTAGAATTTGATTTCAAGTGAAAGAAATAGCTCCTGATATTCCCTGTTGTGATGGTTTACAACAAACCAAAAGAAATTTATTACTAGGTTTGCTTTTTTCTTCCTCAAAAATGTTTCTAAAGCGGAATTTCTATCTTTGTTAGCAGGATATCTGAAGGTCAGATGTTACTTTAAAAAGAATATTTAATGAGGGTCAAAGATGAAATTTAATCGTTTTTATATTTGCATAGAATTTAGCACAGACTTTTTCAGAGCACTCAGTTCTAACAGTTATAAAGGTATAGCAACAATAAACAGGGCCCCCTTTCTCTTCTACTGCAACCAGTGTTACTGGCACTAGAAGGCTGCATATGCTATCTACTGCTCAGGAGTTTTGGCTCAAGTCACTGCATAACTGCTAAGAAATTGCTAATTGTTATATATTTCTGCAATGACCTATGGTCTGTGAATACACATTCAGATAGTATTGTGTTCTCTGTGCTATTCTTCCCCTGTTAAGGCTCTGTGACCAAGTCTTAAGGGCGTATTCTGAATGATTGTTCAGGCTAGTAAGAAGTAGTATCAGCGAATGCCAAGCATATAACTATGGGCTCAGTTGCTCAATCATCGGTTTCATTCACCTTTTTAAAGTTATTGTGAAATGCCATGAAACAAGTCACAGCTGAGTCTCTTAACTTGACATATAGAAAGTAAAGGATTGGTTATCTCTTATGTGGAAGAGAGGCAGAGAGCAAGGACTGTTTAGTCCTGGAGGATCTTTATGAATATCTGATGGGGCAAAGTAAAAAATATATTCAGATTGTTCTCAGTGGTGCTTAGTGACAGGACAAGAAGCAGTAGGCACAAATTGAAGTGCAGGAAATTGCTCTGAAACATAGGAACTTTTCTGGTTTGAACATTGCAG